TCTTTCAACATAATGATGTCACATTGTTACCATAGCCACCAAGATCTCCCGACTTATCCCCAATTGAGCACGTGTGGGATATGATGGGTAGGAGATTGCTCAATTTGCAACGTCCTCCTCAGACTCTAGAAGCACTTCGAGAGGAGTTGGTGGTTGCCTGGAATGAGATACCACAGGAGGACATTGACCACCTGATCAGAAGCACGCCTAGGCGCGTTGGAGAATGCGTAGCACATCAGGGTGCATCCACACATTATTAAAGGTCAAAGGGCTTTAAAGCAGTGCAATCATTTTGAAATTTTTATCATTTACTTATTATGCTTCATTAAGTACTTATACAAAATTTTATTAAAATAAAACCAGTTAAACTAGGTGTTCGGATTCGTTATATGTCACTTAGTATATTTTACTATTTGTCTTTAATAGTTTCCTATCTGTCCATATTAGGTATTTCGTTTTGTTAGTAAATATAGATCTCGACATTTGATCGTGAGAATATTTTCATACAGTAAATTTTAATTATCTTATATAGTCTGTTCCAGCTCTATAAAAATGTGTTACAATGTAAATAAACAAGGAAACCTCTTCCTACATAGGCTTGTCCAGAAACGATTATTTGCACGTATCTTTATGGTCGGTGCAGATCATAAACTAATTAGAAATTTTATGGCGCTTATAGGATTAGATTTATTAAAGTGTCCAATTCCAATCAGAAACGTGCGTTGTGGTGAATTATAGCAGCGGAGCTGATGGTGGTTTTTTAAAATTATGAATTTTACATCTTAATGATTTTTAAAATCTTCTCTAATTCGTGTGCTGTATGTATACGCCTCCTAAAAAATGTAAAGCATACACTCCATTTTCCCACACTGTTACCTCTTCCTGTTCTTCCTACGCCATTGGGCAGTATCACGAAAAATTTCAAAAATGAGATTTTAAGGTTTTTGGATCTTATATGACATGTAGATCACAAAAAATCATGTCACTCACTTTCGTCGGTCTGCCTGTCTGTCTGACCACTAATCCTTGACCCCTCTATAACGTGGGAAGTACCGCAGTGGCAGGATTATGTAAAAAAACCTAAAAAAAAACGCGCAAGATGACATTTCGTCGTTTTTTTTGACGTTTTTTAGGTTTCTTACATAATACCGCTGCCTGTTGGATTTTGATGAAATTGCCTCCTACTATGCCAAGGATAAAAAAGTTTCGTAGTTTTTGAAAATCCAGTGGCGGCGGACAAAAATAGCAAAAAGACAAAATAAAAATCGTTCAAACTTCGTTTTTTTACATCTCAAAGGATCCTGATCTTATTGATTTTTTTTTTTGGTAGAAAATTGGGTCCTATATATATACGCTTACAACTCCAGTAATTCTACGCACCTATTAGACATATTTCACATATCATAGATTTCCCCCCTGCATTTGCCCTTAAAACTTATAATATTTTGCTCCTCGGACGGAACAAAGTCAACATTCTTACGGAACAAGTTCATTTCTGGGTTGTTCGTTACTCAGGTAAGTGATTAAAATCCTGGAACTTCCACACTTCTCTGGCCCAAAGCAGAAAAATTAACTTCGTTTTCCATAACTCAACTCCTGCAGCTTTTCTTATTCAATTCAGTAATCTTGTTTTTCCAAAATCGGACTTTTTGAAATAAGGGAGTAGAATAGTGGGTATGGTTCTCTTAACTTTTGTGGAACTGTATACCTGAACACTGATAAAAGAGTTAAGTGATACGAAGAACTTAGGAATCTTGGGAAACAGCTCTACATAGAAACCATTTTTTCTCCCATCGCTTTGAAAAGCTAGCAACACTGTTGCTTCAAACTGGTTGACTGGACCTGTAAGCCTAATCAGCCCACTATATGTTGCCGAAAACGGATGTGTTCACAATCTCGTTTGTCTTTGTACAAAATGAATATGTACACCAAAACTAAATATCTGTAACTTTAAGAAGGGATATTGGATATTTTTCATTCTGTGGGTCTGTGACTACCATTTCACCATCGGTGTAGCTGTGCCTGATTGGACAAACATGAATTCCACATTCCTGATTGATCATGATCACTCGTCTTTCGCTTACCGTTCAGTTTCTGTCATAATTCATCATCAAGCATCAGCAACTTGGTTGTAACTAAACATTTTTTAAAATATGTAAAAAATAGCTTTTGAGAAGCGCTCAATATTCTACGATACCTTAGCTTTATAAATAAGAATTTATTCTGTGGCATGAGTAACGTGAATGCTTGTGACGCACTGAGGCCATCTACGAGTATTACACGTAATTTTAGTACTGATTGTCGTCTGTTTTCAGATTAAGTAAAAGGAGACCTCATACTAGAGAAGTTCTCTTACTCGGCACTCTTAAAAAATAATAAAAAAGCAAGATGTTATTTATAAAAACAACGCACTTTCAAACGTTTCCCTTAGATCTCATATTCAAGCAGGTCTATTTTGTAAAATATTGCCTAATTTTTTTCAAAAGAGGATACGCTAGGAAGCTTTACCCTCCACAGACTGAAATCCTGGGAGCGCCTGTGGCGCAGAAGAAACCTAAATGACGCCATTTTTTGTCTTGTGTGAACCAAGTTTACAATAATTTCTAATTAATGCCAGAAAAAAGGATGAAAGGCTTGTAGCAGGCTCCCTTAAAATACCATTATTTACAAAATTACTAGATGTCTTCTTCATATTCCCGTTCCATTTTCAATGGCCTACAAGGAAACTAAAATTACTACGGTTCAATTCTTGATTTAAAGAAGTGGTCCACCAACTCATAGCCTATAAAGCTCTTGACGCCCACATATTTATTATTCATACTTACCATTATATAGGCCAGTTTTTGCGTTATTTTTTGTAGATATAGGTTACACGATTCCAATCAGCATTTTTTTACCCTGTAGGCAACCGTTCCGAACTCCCAGGCATTAATAGTATCTTAACGCACCTGTAATTCATTTCAGTTACTTAATCATAACAAGGTATCAGAACACAGATACATTTCTATTGTTTGAAAGGAAAAAATCTAATCGATGGATCTAAAGTTATTAATTGAAATCGTTTTTTCTCAGGTCAGTAACAAAATCACCTAATAATTTGTAACTAAATGGGGGGTGGATAATCGACAGCAGCTGTCGATAAATATCAAGCAGTAATAGGTACAAAGTAATAATGTTTACAGGACCGTTCTAAGATATTTAGATTCTCTGACTCAAAATATCAATGCCACAATCTGGAACAAGTCATGATGAATGTCGGGTCAGAAACTTGGATAGTTCTTTCAACAGGTTCAGGATATTTAGAATTTCAGGAAAATTGTTTAGGCGGATTTGACAACTCAGTTATATTATTTAGGGTAAACAAACAGGTTCTTTATCTAGAGATTCAGAAAATATCGGTGGGTAACTTTCTATTAACAGTCAAAGTTGATAAAATAGTTTTTCCTATGTACAGGGTGCGGCAGAGCGGATGGACGGTTTTAAAAAAATCATATAATAGTTAATTTTTACTCGAAAACAAACTTATTGATGGAATCAGGTTCACAAGGAAATAGCATTTGAGACAGTCAAGTGTGGAAAATCACATCAGGCATGTGGTGGCCGAAATCGTTGATGCAGTACTGGAGGCGTTCTTGGAAGTTCGCGTAGACTCTCTTCAACATCGCTCTCTCAACTTGGGCGACTTCCACGCGAATTTCGCCCTTCAATTCGTCCAGAGTTCGGGGCTTTTTCGCGTATACCCTAGCCTTGAGGTGTCCCCATAAGAGAAAATCGCATCAAGATAAATCTGGGGACCGAGGAGGCCAATGAACATCGCCAAACCAGGAAATAAGGCGACCAGGAAAGAGAGGGCGAATAACGTCCATGGATGATCGGTCTGTGTGGGCGGTCGCCCCATCCTGCTGGAACCACACACAGCGCTCTGAGTTCACGGTAACATCACGACCATCACCGTCTTCGAAGAAGTGAGGGCCAATGATGCAAGTTTGTGATACAGCGCACCAAATCGTTACTTTTGGGCTGTGCAGCGGTCTTTCGTGTAACTGTTGCAGATTTTCAGCTAATAACGACAACTCTGCTGGTTAACCATGCTGTTTAGGTGAAAGTGGGCTTCGTCACTCATAGGCGAAAACGCGGTGCTCCACCGTCCAAGGGTCCATAACGACAACTGGTAAAATAATGCTAGGATCTCACGAGTCAAACGGCACCCTCCCCACCTCTCTCGTAGACGGAGGCGGAGAGTACTACCCATCCCAAAAACGTCCGTCCTCTCTGCCGTACCCTGTATTAAATAAACTATGAGGTATTGGTAGAACTGGTTCAAAGGAAACTTGAGTGCAAAAATACGTACACAATGAGATAACATGTAACATGTTTAATTTGCTGTAGCATTATATACTGAGTAACATTAGAAGTGTTGCACCCAGAAAAATAAATTTATTCAACTTATTTTTTTGGCAACATAATGACTATATTTAAAGCATGCTGTGGGAACAATGTAAACGTTTTATCTTTGTTTTTCACGTTGAAAGTAATTTATTGATAAACATTGAATAATGGAACCCTTTCTGAACCACTCAAGTATAGGATATTTTGCAGATACATGATCAAATATACGTAGCCTAAAGATATATAACTATCGCGGAAAGGAGAGAGACAGCTGTGACAAACTCTTATAGAGGACGCCACGGTTTTTCAGTTGACCTAGGGAAATTTTTCGGACGCACGAATATGGCATTAGGTTAGCTATTTCCATTTAGAAAACGTTAACCAATGGTTGGGGCCACTGTGAAACACACATTCAGAAATTCATTTTGCGACCTTCATAAAATGGCTATCGACGGGTTGAGCATACCACAGAAAGACCACATAGCGAAATTCGTGGCGTGGTGTTATGATATACGATTACAATACAATGAAGATAAGCTATGCCTTTACCTCCAGTTTTCCTTTAAAAGTAGCCCTTGAAATCTAAAGGAAGAAAATCATCTAAATCGAAATTACCTCTTTGAACGTGGAACTAGGAATGCAAAGTCCACAAACTCAAATTTTCTACAAGATTTTCTATCTATTGAAAGTAACTTCAGTTCTATGAAATGGGATTCTTCGGTCTCAGTCGCATCATGATTCGTTTTGGAGGCATTGTTCAATACTGTACAAAAATTTTGAGAATTCCGTAAAATAGATCCAAGTGGAAATAAGTCTTCAAGAAACAACAAAGAGGTTAGATTAATATCTATTGATGTACAGGGTCCGCCAAAGGAACCTGATGAGTTTCAATATGAAACTACAAATGTATCTTTCAAGATATTTATTTTCATATATAAGTAATCGAAAGTGTATTACATGCCATTTTATGTATGGAAAAAAACTTCGGTCAAATGATGTCCTTCACTGCGGACACACTCTTCCAAACGGTTTCGCACATTCCCCATTACGCGCTGTACCATACTCATCGGAATCGCGCTAATTTCATTGCGAATGTTTTCCTTCAATTCTTCAATGGTCCTTGGGCTCGTTAAATATATCTTGCTTTTGAGATAACCCCATAACCAATAGTCACAAGCCGTGAGATCGGGAGACCTTGCCGGCCAAGGAACATCTCCATTCCGCGAAATGACTCTTCCTGGAAACATTTCTCGCAGTCGAACCATTGTTGCTCGTGCTGTATGCGCTGTGGCGCCATCTTGCTGAAACCATACAGTATTTAAATCTATGTTCCGTCGACGAAGCTCTGGTTCCAAAAATATGTTTAACATTTCCAGATAACGTTGCGAATTGACCGTGACAGAATTTCCAGCATCGTCCTCAAAAAAATAGGGTCCAATTATGCCGAATCGCGACACTCCTCACCAAACAGTAACCTTGCGACTATGAAGGGGTCGCTGGTGAAGTTCTCTCGGGTTTTCTGCACACCAGTAGCGAAAATTCTGCTTATTTACGTAGCCTGATAACTCGAAATGACAGACATAATTAAGCCACCTAAAGCGTTTTCATCCAAAAGTTCCAGAAGCTGGTTGCTTGCAGTCAAACGGTTCACAAAGTCTTCAGCTGTCAGTTCTTGAACCATCGCTAATTTGTAAGGGTGATAATGTCAATCCTTATGCAAAATACGCCGCACTGTTGTTTCTGAAAGCCTTAGACTAATTGCTTGTAGCCTAGCTGAACGACGTGGAATTTGCTGCACCGCTGTTCGCACCCTCTCAATATTGGCTGGAGTCCGAACTGTTCGACGCATTCCTGGTGGCTTAGCTTTCATTGCTGATGCAGATCGACGAAAATTTTTGACCCACAACTTAATTGTGTTACGGCATGGAACAGAACCATGACGTCCGACATTGAAATGTGTACGAAGTAAACGCTGTGTAATGATCACCGAGTCGTGATTTTTAAAATACGTCTCGACAACAAATGCGCGATGTTCACTTGTCCACAGCTCCATGACTACTGAAATGGCATCTACTACCGATGTCTTGCCCACTGTAACCGATGTTCTACGTCAAAAAACAGCTTCGTACTATCCATTCTGAAAACGTCAGGTTCCTTTGGCGGACCCTGTATATAATTTTTTTTCTCAATGCAGTGATTCTGATTCTTATTAACTCTCTGATTTGTACATCCGCAAATTAGGCCGATACTGCTGATATGCCGATTTATATATCTTATATCTGTCGATCCTTAATTTTTATTGAAAACTGCATCCGCATACGCAGAAAGATCAGACTAGTTACCAGAAAGATACTCCTTTGGTCATACTACCGAGGAAGCAGTGGTCCTGTTGTCATGGACATTGACATTGGTATATTCCACTTGCGAACAGAAAGTAAACAGAAAACAAAAAGTCAACTCCGCCTAGATGTTGCCTATCGGAGTATTTGAATATCATACAAATCGAAGCTAGCATTTATTTAAACCATTTAAATGTACGCAGTCGGGCATCTCCGACCGAGATATCTGTATGTGCGTATCCAATTTACCTCATGTGGCTCCATTATAATGACACATGTTGTGTTCGACAAGATATTGTCAACGGAGGAACATAATATAACTCTTGATCGTACCAAAAAGGAATCTCATTTAAATAATGTTACCGTAATGTCATCGCAATGAGCAGGTCCGTCTTTACGAAGTGGCCTGACTGGCTCTGTAGAGAAGCTCTCCTATGATAATATTTAAGCTGGTTGAGAACGCTCACACTAAACTGGGAATTTGTATTAATGTTTCCACTTCAGTGATCCCGACCGCTGCAAAGGAGAAAATGAAAAAGGAAAACGAATTGTTGATACAAGTTTTGAATTACACCACCTAAGCTTAGTGTTATTAGAACCATTGATTAACGTATTCTACCAAATGCTATATTCTCGCGTACAAAAAATTATCCGAGGTAAAATGAGCTAATGTAGTGTCATCTATACTAACAATACTTTGAAAAGGTCAGGATAATAGATAGGGCTGCCTATATGAGCATATGCAAGAATACTGGTGGCTACAGCACCATCAGGGAGACACTAACATTTTCAAAGTGTATATAGTATACAGAGAAAAAGCTGTGACACATTCTCATACGCATTAGGTTGATGTTCGTCAGGCAGAATAAGTTAATAAATGGTATAACAAAGGAAACAACCTCTTCCGACAGCTTATTCCACGATATCGACGCTTTAGGAACAACGGCAGGGTTATTATGTAAAAAACCTACAAAATGTCAAAAAAAAAATCGACAAAATCTCAACCTCCTTATTAACTAAAGTTTGGCAAACGGATCTGCAACAGCGAAAGGAATGCGACCGAAAATATTCGATATTGCCAAATTTAACTACAAAAAAGCAGTAATGAAGTAATTTCAATGATTTGAAAATCGATTTTTCACAATTCCAAAAAATAATAATTCAAAATACTGAGTATTTTAATGGGTTGTTAGCTCTATTTGTATTTAATAACTATTTTTTACTACTGAATCGTATTATAAGTAAACATTTTTCCAAAGATCTTATCGACATCGGTTGAGCTGGCAACAACCACCCGAAAGGTATATTGGACACCGCCTGAACGAATCTGATTGGCGGATATCCTCACATGTTTTGTCGCCATGAGAAAATTCGACTCCCTATTGGGTAGCGTCCCAGACAATTTTTTGCTCCTTTCTTGGAATATCCATACTATTGAAAAGTCCAGTGGCGTAGGTTTTATCTCCGTTGATCGTGTATGAGTTTTACAACTATTATTGTTAACTATTTATTGTTCTATTAAGTTTGTATGTTTAGTGCTGTGTGTTTTTGAATAGTTTAGTGTTTTGTTATTTGTTATTGTTATTCGTTTTAGTATTATTTTTTTAAAATGAACCAATTTACTCGCGGAAAGACGCTTCATAGCCAAACAACAGAAGTGATTGCGAATGTTTATGGGTTTTTAATAATAATATGCAATAATTGTAGTTTTTGACGACTGAGTCTGAATATAAATAAAAAACAAGGAAATGCTAAGCTAACATTCTGATGATTATTTATAGGGTTTGCGATGAGGAAGCGGCAAACAATTCCCTCAAGTTGTTGCTTAAACGTAAGCTTGATAGGGTGTCCCTTTATACCGGATTCGGAGTATCTTCTGTTAGGAAAATTCATTACGAAGATAAAGAAAGACTAGAAAATACCCCAATAAAATGTTATCCAGTCCCGGGAAAAAAAGACCGGGTCAGTCTCTTGTTGAGAAAGATGAAGATTTTGATTTTCAGATTACTAGACATTTGATAAACAGATTTTATCTTGAATATACAGTTATCCCGACAACTAGGAAGTTATTACAAAAGTTGAGAGAAGACTCAAATTTCCCCTATTCTAGGGAAACACTCAGGAGTTTATTAAAATCAAATGTTTTTTTTTTTGGCGCAAATGACAAAATGTAAGAAAAGTTTTGATAGAGGCCTAATATATTGCAATGGAGGTACAAATACATCCGTGAGATACGTAGATATCGTGAAGAAGGGCACAATATTGTTCATTTGGACGAAACCTGGGTGGAAAATGACTTGACTTTCAAAAAATGCTGGCAGAGCGAAACTGTTTCTGGTGTAATAAGCAGTATAGGTTCTACAGGTAAGCAAAAATGCTATATATATCTTAAATTTAACTCTGATTTGTAACATATTATATAATCGTATTGTATATTTTAGGTCGACTCATTATAGTGCATGCAGGTTCAGAAAATCGATTTGTTGACAATGCCTGTTTGATATTTAAGGCGGGATTAGTTACAGGCGATTACCACGGTCAGATGAATCGGGAAAATTTCACACGCTGGCTCACCGAAAAACTCCTCCCGAATATACCTGCCAATTCGGTTATCGTATTTGACAATGCCCCATATCATTCCGTCCAGGAAGATAAAACCCCGACAAAATCATCTTCGAAAAAAGATATAATGGCCTGGTTGACAATGAAAGGTACTTATGACTCAAAACATGCATGTACATATCAAACTATACAATAAAATATTTTATAGGCATAAATCATGAGGCAACTGCCAGAAAATTTTACTTGTTCGATCTGGTCTTACTTCGTAAGCCCCCTGACAACCAAAAAAATTATGTATTTGATCGGATCATAAGATCACATGGACATACTCCTCTAAGAACACCTCCTTATTTATGCGAGCTAAACCCAATAGAATTAGCTTGGGCAAAGCATAAATTTCATATAAGAAGCCGCAATACCACTGGAAACTTCAGTTTAACCGCACTGAAAGAAGTTACTCAGGAAGCGATGTCCTTAATATCCATTAATGATTGGCAGAAATTTTGTCAACAATGTTAGGGACATTGAAGATAAATTTTGGGAAAATGATCAATTTATGGAGGAAATGGAACCAGTTATAATAACTATAGGGCAAGATGACGACAGCGAAACTGATGACGACAGTGACGATGATGATAATGATGAAGTTGATGAACACCATTGGTAATTCAATAGGTGAAATGTAATTTTGAAATGCTGTATAATGTAAGTATTATTCATTACAGTGGTTATAAGTTAAACATATATGAAATATGTTTAAAGTTCTTTGTTTCTATTTAAGCGACACCGATGCTCTAGAAATATCCACATCAACAGTCCAAAATTGCAACAATAGGAATCCAGAAAGATGCGGATTAAAAAA